TTATAAATGATAAAAAATGCTAATATAGATATAAAATCGATATTTTTTTTGAAAATAGCCTACTATGGTCGAAACCAAAAATGCTTTAAATTGCATTTTAAAACATATCTAGGTATTATAAATGATAAAGAATGCTAATATAGATATAAAATCGATATTTTTTTTGAAAATAGCCTACTATGATCGAAACCAAAAATGCTTTAAATTGCATTTTAAAACATATCTAGGTATTCTAAATGATAAAGAATGCTAATATAGATATAAAATCGATATTTTTTTTTGAAAATAGCCTTCTATGATCGAAACCAAAAATGCTTTAAATTGCATTTTAAAACATATCTAGGTATTATAAATGATAAAGAATGCTAATAAAGATATAAAATCGATATTTTTTTTGAAAATAGCCTACTATGATCGAAACCAAAAATGCTTTAAATTGCATTTTAAAACATATCTAAGTATTATAAATGATTAAAAATGCTAATATAGATATAAAATCGATATTTTTTTTGAAAATAGCCTACTATGATCGAAACCAAAAATGCTTTAAATTGCATTTTAAAACATATCTAGGTATTATAAATGATAAAGAATGCTAATATAGATATAAAATCGATATTTTTTTTGAAAATAGCCTACTATGATCGAAACCAAAAATGCTTTAAATTGCATTTTAAAACATATCTAGGTATTATAAATGATAAAGAATGCTAATATAGATATAAAATCGATATTTTTTTTTGAAAATAGCCTTCTATGATCGAAACCAAAAATGCTTTAAATTGCATTTTAAAACATATCTAGGTATTATAAATGATAAAGAATGCTAATAAAGATATAAAATCGATATTTTTTTTGAAAATAGCCTACTATGATCGAAACCAAAAATGCTTTAAATTGCATTTTAAAACATATCTAAGTATTATAAATGATTAAAAATGCTAATATAGATATAAAATCGATATTTTTTTTGAAAATAGCCTACTATGATCGAAACCAAAAATGCTTTAAATTGCATTTTAAAACATGTCTAGGTATTATAAATGATAAAGAATGCTAATATAGATATAAAATCAATTTTTTTTTTTGAAAGAGCCTACTATGATCGAAACCAAAAATGCTTTAAATTGCATTTTAAAACATATCTAGGTATTATAAATGATAAAGAATGCTAATATAGATATAAAATCGATATTTTTTTTTGAAAATAGCCTACTATTATCGAAACCAAAAATGCTTTAAATTGCATTTTAAAACATATCTAGGTATTATAAATGATAAAGAATGCTAATATAGATATAAAATCGATATTTTTTTGAAAATAGCCTACTATGATCGAAACCAAAAATGCTTTAAATTGCATTTTAAAACATATCTAGGTATTATAAATGATAAAGAATGCTAATATAGATATAAAATCAAATTTTTTTTTTGAAAGAGCCTACTATGATCGAAACCAAAAATGCTTTAAATTGCATTTTAAAACATATCTAGGTATTATAAATGATAAAGAATGCTATTATAGATATAAAATCGATATTTTTTTTGAAAATAGCCTACTATGATCGAAACCAAAAATGCTTTAAATTGCATTTTAAAACATGTCTAGGTATTATAAATGATAAAGAATGCTAATATAGATATAAAATCAAATTTTTTTTTTGAAAGAGCCTACTATGATCGAAACCAAAAATGCTTTAAATTGCATTTTAAAACATGTCTAGGTATTATAAATGATAAAGAATGCTAATATAGATATAAAATCAAATTTTTTTTTTGAAAGAGCCTACTATGATCGAAACCAAAAATGCTTTAAATTGCATTTTAAAACATGTCTAGGTATTATAAATGATAAAGAATGCTATTATAGATATAAAATCAAATTTTTTTTGAAAATAGCCTACTATGATCGAAACCAAAAATGCTTTAAATTGCATTTTAAAACATATCTAGGTATTATAAATGATAAAGAATGCTAATATAGATATAAAATCGATATTTTTTTGAAAATAGCCTACTATGATCGAAACCAAAAATGCTTTAAATTGCATTTTAAAACATATCTAGGTATTATAAATGATAAAGAATGCTAATATAGATATAAAATCGATATTTTTTTTGAAAATAGCTTACTATGATCGAAACCAAAAATGCTTTAAATTGCATTTTAAAACATATCAAGGTAATATAAATGATAAAGAATGCTAATATAGATATAAAATCGATATTTTTTTTGAAAATAGCTTACTATGATCGAAACCAAAAATGCTTTAAATTGCATTTTAAAACATATCAAGGTATTATAAATGATAAAGAATGCTAATATAGATATAAAATCGATATTTTTTTTTGAAAATAGCTTACTATGATCGAAACCAAAAATGCTTTAAATTGCATTTTAAAACATATCAAGGTAATATAAATGATAAAGAATGCTAATATAGATATAAAATCGATATTGTTTTTGAAAATAGCTTACTATGATCAAACCAAAAATGCTTTAAATTGCATTTTAAAACATATCTAGGTATTATAAATGATAAAGAATGCTAATATAGATATAAAATCGATATTGTTTTTGAAAATAGCCTACTATGATCGAAACCAAAAATGCTTTAAATTGCATTTTAAAACATATCTAGGTATTATAAATGATAAAGAATGCTAATATAGATATAAAATCGATATTTTTTTTGAAAATAGCCTACTATGATCGAAACCAAAAATGCTTTAAATTGCATTTTAAAACATATCTAAGTATTATAAATGATAAAAAATGCTAATATAGATATAAAATCGATATTTTTTTGAAAATAGCCTACTATGATCGAAACCAAAAATGCTTTAAATTGCATTTTAAAACATGTCTAGGTATTATAAATGATAAAGAATGCTAATATAGATATAAAATCAATTTTTTTTTTTTGAAAGAGCCTACTATGATCGAAACCAAAAATGCTTTAAATTGCATTTTAAAACATATCTAAGTATTATAAATGATAAAAAATGCTAATATAGATATAAAATCGATATTTTTTTTGAAAATAGCCTACTATGATCGAAACCAAAAATGCTTTAAATTGCATTTTAGATCATATCAGAACAGGTCGTTACCTGTTCACAGGTCAATTTTTTCCACCTGTCACCTGTCACCTTTGACTATCGAAATTTTATTCTTCTTGTGAAGTATAAAGATTTCATATAAAATTCTTCAATTTTTTTTTCTTCCTTAAGTCCCGGGTTCAAATCTTACCATAAGCAACTTTCTTTTTTTGCATTTTTATGATTTGTTTCTAAACTTTTTTGATATAACATTAAGTTTTATGACAAAGTTTTCCATTTTCATATTTTATTTCTTCACTTTCTATATTTTAACATGTATTTTAAATTTTTTCCATACATTTTCATACAAATTCAACTTTTGTTTGTCATATTTTATACATATTTTATTTTAACAAGCTGGATTCTGACACAAAGGCTCTTTTCCTAGATCTTGGATCATAAAATGGCATAAAATATTAAAACTAGTATAGACTTTGTCATTCGAGACCGCAAAAAGTCGAAATATATAATAAATTATAATCCAAGATTACGATTTTAGAACATCCAGATCTAGGAAAAGAGCCTTTATGTCAGATTTCAGCTTGTTAAAATAAAATATGTTTAAAATATGACCAAAAAAGTTGAATTTGTATGAAAATATATGGAAAAAATTTAAAATACATGTTAAAATATAGAAAGTGAAGAAATAAAATATGAAAATGGAAAACTTTGTCATAAAACTTAATGTTATATCAAAAAAGTTTAGAAACAAATCATAAAAATGCAAAAAAAGAAAGTTGCTTACGGTAAGATTTGAACCCGGGACTTGAGGAAGAAAAAAAAATTGAAGAATTTTACATTAAATCTTTATACTTCACAAGAGCAATAAAATTTCGATAGTCAAAGGTGACAGGTGACAGGTGACAGGTCAGACCTGTGATAGGTGAAAAAATTTGACCTTTAAACAGATAACGGCCTGTGACAGGCAGAACCTTTGACAGGTCAGACCTGTGATAAGTGAAAAAATTTGACCTGTGAACAGGTAACGGCCTGTGACAGGTGATCTTTTGACAGAAACTGTCACCTTTACCTGTGACAGGTACCGTGGTCGCAACTCTGATAATATCTATACAAATTTTCGAGTATTTCTTCTAAAACATAATCAATTTTATTTGTACTTAATATCAGAGCTCGAAGTCGATAGGGTTAGAGTCAACTCGAGTCGACTTTGAGCTATGCTTAATATGCATTTTCAATTTCTCAAAAAAGAAAAACATCGTTTAATGTAAATTCGAAGCATGATGAATAAATTGGCTTTTGTAATGCATGAAAAGCCTTTTTGGCAATCAATTCATTCTTGATAGTGATTTTTTTTACATTTGCATTATATGTTTAACTGTTCCTAAATTTTTTCATATCTATTGTTCTCTTGACATAAATTTTAATAATTTATACATGCATGAATTGAATAACTTCTATGATGGAGAATTTCAGGTTCGTGTGTTCAGTAAATGTTTTAAGAAGGTTGCATATTTCAGTGAAATTCATATTTCATTTATTATGGATGAATTGATCATGCACAGTCCCCAGTAATAACTCCGAAACTGAATAACTGCACATATTAAGAAAACCGCAGGATTGAATTTGTTTGTCAGTAAAATTATGCTTCCTCTTAATTTTACAATGAAAAGTTTCTCCTAAAATAAGATATCGCTTATGATCTCCAATGACAACAGTCCTACCCTTAGCAAATTTGTTGTCACGACTGCAATGAAGAGTTCAATATTGACAGTAGATTTTCTGTTGAATTCGGTTGGAACAATCTTTTGCCGAAAATTTTTACACATTCAGACAATCCACAAAAATAAAAAAAATTAAGATTCGTCACGAAATGAGTATTTTAAATGTATAGTTTTTTTTAAGTAATATATTTATTTTTATTTAAAATCTTTACAAGCTTATGATTGCATTTGAAAAGTCGTGGTTATTTATTCTCAAAAAAAGAGTAGGTTTCAGCTTTAAAAACTGGAGGAAGTGAAAGATCTGGATAATTTTTAGAATGATATGATCTAGACGTGTTTTTAACATTAGATGAGGTTCCTCCTTCATTTTGTAGACTTTCTGATTGATGCTAGAAAAATTTGAAGACGTGTGAGTATTGTAATATTGAAATATTTTGTCAAATTTAAAATAATCTTACTTTCGGGAATGTAATTGATGTGAAAATTTCATGATCTGCAGAAGAAGTTACATTACTATTATTTCTTCCAAAAATGGCACGATGTAGCTTAGGCGAACCTAGTAGCTTTTTTTCATTTGATGATGAGAATGAAAGTTTGGTAAAATATGGCATAACCGAATTATTTCCAGTTGGTGCAGAGTTTTTACGTAGAATTTTTGTGTTTGGTTGAACTTCTTGTCCACCAAAATTACTAGTTTTCTTTAATTTGGCACTTTGAATGCATTCTTTTTCACTTAAAGCATCAAAATTGTTTTGTTTATTTGATCCCAACCTTAGTTTTCGAAAACTTCCAGAACTGGTCAATGCTGTTGGATTTGAAGAAGTTGATTGATTATTTTCATCTTTATCATGAGAAATGATCCAATTAAAGCCAGATTTTTTCTTTATACTTCCAGATAGTGGTGCTATTTTTCTCTTCGATATAGACATCTTGGATTCTATATTTTTCACTTCTGGCTGTATATCCTTTTTATCGTCATCATCATTAGAAATCAATTCATAACCAAAATCTCGAAGTTTTTGGCCTTCTTTACTTCGAGTATATAAAATTGACTTATCACTCAGTTTAAAGCTTTGAGCATAATCAGGAGGCATTGGCAAACATCTACGTTGTATTTCCAAAAGTTTTTTGTCTACTTTTATATCTTCATTATTATTAGTCTTTACCACTTGTTTTTCAATAATTTTAGGATTATTTTTATCTTCTGTTCTTTCAAAACCTTGATCAACACGCTTGTCATACATATCTTTCATTTCTTCTGCTCTTTGTTGCAGCATCAAATCTAATAAGGTCATTCCTGTTTGTTGATTCTGATGGTCCCAATTGCAATTTGATGTGTTAAGTGTTTGAAAATCAACAGTATTATAAAAATTGAAGTCTAATAGGTTTGGATTTGAAGCATGAAGAAAATTGTGGTTTTTACGAAAATTTTGCACTGGTTTTTCTTCTTCGTCTGGTTTCTTTTCAGGTGTCGTTTTTTTCTCAACATACAGCTTTAAATCATTTGTGCAAGTTTTTACTTCACTTGACGAATTGCTGTTACTCTGAATAGTATTGCTATTATTGAATAGTGAATTACTGTCCATGCCATATGACAAATAAGCATCAGATATATTAGAATTAATCATCGACGTTGCTCCTAACTGTAATCCACCATTATTTATGACTTTTCTATAAGTTTTAAATTGAGCTGTTGGAACTATATCTGTTGATTTTTTATCATTTTTACTTGACGAAAACAATCCAAGAAATTTATTCTCAGTTGAAAATGTATTTTCGTTTGTATTATATCGACCAAAAGTTTTTTTCAGCGATCCAAAATAGTGACTTTTTTGAAGTGGTGGAGTTTGTTCATTGCTGGATTGATATGAGTTCGATTGATTGAATGAGGAATTTAATTGCCTAACATCAAAAAACTCTTCATCCGAGCATTCAGTCTCAGAGAACAATTCTTTCGGTTCGCATTCTAAATTTATTGTACCTTTGAGTGTTGCCAATCTAATATATTCTATCCATTGTGTCATGGCTTCTGACGTTTCTGCTGCAAAATAAAATGTCTTTTTTGGATGATAGACTTTAAATGCAAATTCCTTGGAATGCACTTCTTTTGCTAGAGATACCGTAAATCCATTTAAAAATATCGCACAGTCTGCTTTTGAAGATTCTTTACTTTTAAATCCATATAAAGCTATATCCATAAGAATAAAATATAATTTTGTCCAGTATGCAACCTCGCTTTTATCTTTTGCTCTACGATACAAATGTCCCTGGATTGTTGCTGAATTGTTCCCTAATGATTTTAATGACAATTTTCTTCGCTTTGCCATTAATAAGTTTTTCTTTTTGTTTGTTAACGTTTTGATTTTACTAGGCATTATTAGTTCCGAAATTTCAAGGACTTGCTTTTTTGATAGTTCTTGTTCCATTTCATTATTTAATGGTGAATTTATTGATTGAACATTCGTTGAATCAAAGCTCTTTTTATTTTTATGCTCATTTATGGTTGAGATACTTTCAGGTGATTTGGATACTATTGTACTAGAATTCTTCACATTTTTGGTATTCAAAAATTGTTTTCTTGGAGGAACTGGCGGTATAACACTCTGCTGTCTTCTAGGTGGGATGTCAAAGTTCGGCACCAGTGATTCTAAAATTTTTTACATCCAATTAATTAAAGGAGACAAATTTAAATGCTTCAATAATACCTGATTCATTGTTATAAGTTGGAGTACTAAAGCTTTTATCCAATTTTCCTCGCTTTACCATTTCTCTGTTAATGATAATATCGTTGATAGCTTCTACTAAATTTTGATTATTTGCAGTTTGAGATATTCTATTAACTGTTATCACATTCTGATCTTTATTTTCAAGTTTTTTTATTACTTGATTGATATTATTCTTTTGATCGATTATATTATCGTCATCAGCATAAGGAATAGGGGTAAATGATTCTATTATAGTCTCCTGTATTTTACACGTGTACTCTGAATCTTGTTGAATTTGATGTTGCGTTGAATCAAAACGAACAACTTTGCTCACTCCAGATTTCAAGATTGACATTTCATCGTCATATTCTCCGTCATGTTCATGAATAGTGTCAGTATTAATTGGCTTTTTAATAAAAAAATTTGCAGACGACTTTTTAAAATAATCAATGTTATTTGAATCATTCAAAAGACCCAAACTTGTTGCAGGTCTTGAATTCAGTCCAAATGAAACCTTAAAGATTGTTTGTATTTAGCTTATAAGTTTTGAAATAAGTAAATGAATAAATACTTACAGATACAGATTTGTCTCTCAAATTTCCAGTACCTAATTCGTCTTTGTTGTGTTTCCTTTCGTGCCATAAAACGATGTTCCCAATATTTTTATAGTTAACTAGATCATTACCACAGATTGTATGACGCCTTTGCAAAACGGCTCTTGGTTTGGGCAGGTATAGTCTTAACTCCTTTTCTAAAGGCTTTGTTTCAGTCGGAGTTAAAATTTCACTTTCGTTCTCGCTTGATTCAGTATCTGATTCTTTCTTCGGTAATGGTTTTTGTGGAAGAAATTCTTGAATGATTTCTATGCGAGGGCTTATTGTGATCTGCTCAATTCTAGGACTCAGAAATGGAATAGTTCTTTTTTTACTTGGTAACTTTATAAGACCAAGCTGTCCATAAATACGATTACTGTGTCTGGGACGCTTTTTCAATGTAAGCAGCACATCCGTTGGTGAATCTTGTAATTGAACAAGAACTTTTTTAAATTGCCATCCAACGACTGTTTGATAGTTGATTTGAACGATTTCGTCTCCGTCTTCAACTTTTCCCGAGCTGTGAACCGGTGAACTAAATTTGACATCTGTTATTCTACAAAATATTAATAGTATCAAGATAATGTGATTCCAGGATTCAAAAAAAAGAATTAGCCTACCTATGGATAAACTGATGACTTGGCATTATATAAAACCCAAGTTCTGACTCCTTCTTTTTTAAAGTAATCAATTCTAAATAAGATGGCTGTAAAAGCATCGGATCAGAAATATCTTGAATGATGTAATCACTGAGCTTATAAAGTTTTTCCGTTAGATTGGTTATTTGCTTTATAGGATTTTGGACAAAACGATCTCTTTGAGCGACGGTTGCAAGTTCCAAACCCAATCGCAACAGTTGTGTCCGAATTTCATTATACTGTGTTTGACCTGCAATTGTAGCAAAAAACGTTAAATCATCGTCAGATAAAAGAAAATTTATGTATTATCTGACCTTGAAAAGGATATCTATCAAGCCACGATATTAAAACCTTAAGTTTCGCTATTGTTCTTGCAACTTCACTTAGGATATTAGCGTCTAGTTTTGACTCTGGCTGATAAGAAAGTTGTTTATTTAGTGATGTACTTACTGTAGCCACTTGTAACGCCAGATACTGTAAGTTTTCTCTATCCAAATTAAAGTGCTAATGAAAAAAACAAATTCATTATTTCTTATGTCAAAATAATCAAGTATTATAGCACTTACAAAATTCTTTAAATGATCTATTGATTCTAAAATAATCTCTTGATGTCCAATTTTAACGATTCCCTGTAAGTAAATTTAATCCTCTTATTATGTGATATATGAGATATGCATTTTATTAACTAACCAGTTCTGTTAATTCGGAATATGATATTTTTAATAATTGCTGTCCATCTATCTGATTATTAAAGAATGATTTGATGTAGAACTTGTTTACACATTCTATTCCTGAATTTTGCAAGAAGGGAATTAAATTGATAATATTTTATTAAACATTGATTATAGCAATAATGACTGCATATCCTGTTATTCTCTAATGAGACTTGTGGCTCGTCAAAAATGAATTCAGCGTCAGCGATAACATTTTTCTTCACTTTAATAAGAAGCTCAAACATATTTTGAGTTCAACAAAAAACAGTTTATATAAATCTTAATTTGCATGTATTATTAAAAACATAGATAAGTAGGTAGGAACTTAAATTGTTTCAAAAATATTTGATTAAAGATTAAATTATGCATGGATTTTTTGTTGTTGGTAAACAAATTGAAAATTAAAATGTCCAAAACATTGCAAATAACTGCTAAATCAATTAAGCCACATCAATAAAGCCATTTGAATTCTTAAATTTAAGAACATATTATTAATTTAATACTGTTGAATTATTGCATAAATCTAGAAAACATTAGTTCCAAAAATTTCAACATAAAATTATTGAAATTCCAATTTTAAAATCAGCTATTTTTTTCGGCGAGCCCAACATTAAACTCTTAAATAGATCCTCATCAAGCTTAAAGATTGTAATCCAAAAACATTATTTAAACTAGTAATGAAGCCGATCACGCTTCATGGGAATATTCACACAATCCTATAGAACTCTCTATGTACTGTTCAGAAAATATTGAAAGATCTTCTCTCAATAAAATGTAAAACGTAAACTAAACATTTTAGTGTATTATCAACAAAGTAAACCATGCCTTAAAAACACGTTTTACAAAGAAAATCATGGTTCCAGTGTCGCAAAAAATACAATACTTAAAATTATAAATAAAAAAATACGACTTTTGAAGAAAGCCATTAACTCTCTGTTGTAGATCAGACTTAAACATAGGTTACAGTCTTGGATAGTTTTGCAACTTCTGCTTCGCTCCAGTTGCTACTCCGCAGTCAGTCTCTTATGTAGATCAGACTTCAAAATAGGTTACAGTAGGTTACAGTCTTCGATAGTTTTGCAACTTGTGTGCTCCGTTTCGTTCAACTGTTTATAGATTACAGTAGGCTCTTGTATAGGTTACAGGTGTAAAATAATGATCTCAGTAGTCTGAGAAAATAAAAAAAATCAGTTGAAAAACACGAACAAAAACATTAAGACGTGTTTCATTAAAAATTAAAAATAAAACAACAGGTGTGTTGAACTCAGATCTTATAGATTACAGAAGGTTTATAAATTACAGGTGTGTTGAACTTCAATATCAATATTTATTTTTAAATACTTTTAAGGTCATAGATGCAACCAAATTATCTAGATCGATCTGGATTTTTAAAAACGGGTAAAATTTTCACGCCTTCACTTCGCTTCGCTCCGTTCAGGTCGTAAAAATTTGTGAGCTTCGCTCAACCTAGTTTAGATTTATAGGTTACAGGTGTGTTGAACTCCACTCCGTTTCACTCCGTTTCGTTCAACTGTTTATAGATTACAGTAGGTTTATAGGTTACAGGTGTGTTGAACTTCACTCCGTTTCACTTCGTTTCGTTCAACTGTTTATAGATTACAGTAGGTTTATAGGTTACAGGTGTGTTGAACTCCACTCCGTTTCACTCCGTTTCGTTCAACTGTTTATAGATTACAGTAGGTTTATAGGTTACAGGTGTGTTGAACTCCACTTCGTTTCACTCCGTTTCGTTCAACTGTTTATGGATTACAGTAGGTTTATAGGTTACAGGTGTGTTGAACTCCACTCCGTTTCACTCCGTTTCGTTCAACTGTTTATAGATTACAGTAGGTTTATAGGTTACAGGTGTGTTGAACTCCACTCCGTTTCACTCCGTTTCGTTCAACTGTTTCTAGATTACAGAAGGTTTATAGGTTACAGATCGTACTGGATTTTTTTAAATTGGGTAAAATTTTCACGCCTTCACTTCGCTTCGCTCCGTTCAGGACGTAAAAATTTGTGAGCTTCGCTCAACCTAGTTTAGATTTATAGGTTACAGGTGTGTTGAACTCCACTCCGTTTCACTCCGTTTCGTTCAACTGTTTATAAGTTACAGTAGGTTTATAGGTTACAGGTGTGTTGAACTCCACTCCGTTTCACTCCGTTTCGTTCAACTGTTTCTAGATTACAGAAGGTTTATAGGTTACAGGTGTGTTGAACTCCACTCCGTTTCACTCCGTTTCGTTCAACTGTTTATAAGTTACAGTAGGTTTATAGGTTACAGGTGTGTTGAACTCCACTCCGTTTCACTCCGTTTCGTTCAACTGTTTATAGATTACAGTTGGTTTATAGGTTACAGGTGTGTTGAACTCCACTCCGTTTCACTCCGTTTCGTTCAACTGTTTATAGATTACAGTAGGTTTATAGGTTACAGGTGTGTTGAACTCCACTCCGTTTCACTCCGTTTCGTTCAACTGTTTATAGATTACAGAAGGTTTATAGGTTACAGGTGTAAAATATAATCTCAGTAGTCTGAGAAAATAAAAAAAATCAGTTGAAAAACACGAACAAAAACATTAAGACGTGTTTCATTAAAAATTAAAAATAAAACAACAGGTGTGTTGAACTCAGATCTTATAGATTACAGTAGGTTTATAAATTACAGGTGTGTTGAACTTCAATATCAATATTTATTTTTAAATACTTTTAAAGTCATAGATGCAACCAAATTATCTAGATCGATCTGGATTTTTAAAAACGGGTAAAATTTTCACGCCTTCACTTCGCTTCGCTCCGTTCAGGCCGTAAAAATTTGTGAGCTTCGCTCAACCTAGTCTAGATTTATAGGTTACAGGTGTGTTGAACTCCACTCCGTTTCACTCCGTTTCGTTCAACTGTTTATAAGTTACAGTAGGTTTATAGGTTACAGGTGTGTTGAACTCCACTCCGTTTCACTCCGTTTCGTTCAACTGTTTATAAGTTACAGTAGGTTTATAGGTTACAGGTGTGTTGAACTCCACTCCGTTTCACTCCGTTTCGTTCAACTGTTTATAGATTACAGTTGGTTTATAGGTTACAGGTGTGTTGAACTCCACTCCGTTTCACTCCGTTTCGTTCAACTGTTTATAGATTACAGTAGGTTTATAGGTTACAGGTGTAAAATATAATCTCAGTAGTCTGAGAAAATAAAAAAAATCAGTTGAAAAACACGAACAAAAACATTAAGACGTGTTTCATTAAAAATTAAAAATAAAACAACAGGTGTGTTGAACTCAGATCTTATAGATTACAGTAGGTTTATAAATTACAGGTGTGTTGAACTTCAATATCAATATTTATTTTTAAATACTTTTAAAGTCATAGATGCAACCAAATTATCTAGATCGATCTGGATTTTTAAAAACGGGTAAAATTTTCACGCCTTCACTTCGCTTCGCTCCGTTCAGGCCGTAAAAATTTGTGAGCTTCGCTCAACCTAGTCTAGATTTATAGGTTACAGGTGTGTTGAACTCCACTCCGTTTCACTCCGTTTCGTTCAACTGTTTATAAGTTACAGTAGGTTTATAGGTTACAGGTGTGTTGAACTCCACTCCGTTTCACTCCGTTTCGTTCAACTGTTTATAAGTTACAGTAGGTTTATAGGTTACAGGTGTGTTGAACTCCACTCCGTTTCACTCCGTTTCGTTCAACTGTTTATAGATTACAGTTGGTTTATAGGTTACAGGTGTGTTGAACTCCACTCCGTTTCACTCCGTTTCGTTCAACTGTTTATAGATTACAGTAGGTTTATAGGTTACAGGTGTGTTGAACTCCACTCCGTTTCACTCCGTTTCGTTCAACTGTTTATAGATTACAGTAGGTTTATAGGTTACAGGTGTGTTGAACTCCACTTCGTTTCACTCCGTTTCGTTCAACTGTTTATGGATTACAGTAGGTTTATAGGTTACAGGTGTGTTGAACTCCACTCCGTTTCACTCCGTTTCGTTCAACTGTTTATAGATTACAGAAGGTTTATAGGTTACAGGTGTAAAATATAATCTCAGTAGTCTGAGAAAATAAAAAAAATCAGTTGAAAAACACGAACAAAAACATTAAGACGTGTTTCATTAAAAATTAAAAATAAAACAACAGGTGTGTTGAACTCAGATCTTATAGATTACAGTAGGTTTATAAATTACAGGTGTGTTGAACTTCAATATCAATATTTATTTTTAAATACTTTTAAAGTCATAGATGCAACCAAATTATCTAGATCGATCTGGATTTTTAAAAAACGGGTAAAATTTTCACGCCTTCACTTCGCTTCGCTCCGTTCAGGCCGTAAAAATTTGTGAGCTTCGCTCAACCTAGTTTAGATTTATAGGTTACAGGTGTGTTGAACTCCACTCCGTTTCACTCCGTTTCGTTCAACTGTTTATAAGTTACAGTAGGTTTATAGGTTACAGGTGTGTTGAACTCCACTCCGTTTCGTTCAACTGTTTATAGATCACAGTTGGTTTATAGGTTACAGGTGTGTTGAACTCCACTCCGTTTCACTCCGTTTCGTTCAACTGTTTATAGATTAAAGTAGGTTTATAGGTTACAGGTGTGTTGAACTCCACTCCGTTTCACTCCGTTTCGTTCAACTGTTTATAGATTACAGTAGGTTTATAGGTTACAGATCGTACTGGATTTCCAAATGTATCGACCAAGAATCCAAAATTAACCATGTTTACAACTCAGAACCAAAAGTATGTAAAATTTTAATTATTTTTGAAACTTGGAGCCAAGATCCAGTAAAGTTTGGATCATGGCTGAAACTTAAAACCAAGATCCAGTAAACTCACAATCATGCCTGCATCAAATTACCAAGATCCAGTAAAGTTTTAAGAATGTCTGAAACTTAAAACCAAGATCCAGTAAAGTTTTAATCATGTCTGAAACTTAAAACCAAGATCCAGTAAAGTTTTAAGAATGTCTGAAACTTAAAACCAAGATTCAGTAAAGTTTTAAGCATGTCTGAAACTTAAAACCAAGATCCAGTAAAGTTTTAAGCATGTCTGAAACTTAAAATCAAGATCCAGTAAAGTTTTAACCAT